AATAAGACTAAAAATAATACAAATATAATTCCTCTTACTATTTCTACTATTTTACTAAAGTATAATAGAAAATATTTTTATAAAAACCCGGATATTATAGTATTTCTATAAGATATTAATTTATATAACGATTCTTATTAAATTAAAGTTATTAATTTCTCAGAAAAAGGCATATTTATAGTTATTTCTAGATTTCAGGTACTAAAAGAAATATATATTTTTAATTCCCGGTTTATTAATAAAATTAAAAATAAGAATATAAAAAGAAAGTTTAAGAAATCGAAACTAGTTATTTAAGCTTATAATAATAGTAAGAAAAATATAATATATATTAATATAATTATTTATTATTTAATATATTAGCTAGAGAATTATTCTTAGTATTATTATTATAATAATAAATACTACGGAATTATATTTATATAATATCTCGCAAGTTTATATTTAATTAATAATTTTATTTAATTATAATTTTAATATTAACTCATTTTATAAGTTTATTAAAGAGCTAAATTTAAAGAATAATTCTATTTTAAAAGTTGTAAAACTATTATATAATATATTAGAAGCTAGAAATTATTAGTTTAAAACTTAATATTAATAAGCTTTTTATAAAATAATTAATTTATAACTCTTATTTCTTTTATAATAAGTAATTCTTCGGAATTATTAGTCTTTAAACTAATAATACTCTATTTATTAAAACTAATAATTTTATAAAATAAAGTAATTAAAGCTCTAAAAAGCTAAGTTTTTAATTAAGAAATATAAATACCTTATTTTTAATTATAATTTCAAGTTTAATAGAAGTATTATTTATATAAATACTACTAGAATTACTTTTATATAGGAATACTAATATAAAAACCTCTAAACTATTTCTATAAAAAATACTACTATTATAAATAATAGAAGTACTATTTATTAAAATCTCTTTATTAAGAACTAATATATTATCTAATATATTAAAGAAATATATATTATATTAGTCTATTAATTAGAAGTTTTATATAATTTATTAATTACTATTTAAGCTATTAAACTCTCGAAAACTAATATGAAAGTATTTAATAGTAAATTAAGAATATTATTAAAGAATTAAAATTCGTAAAGCTAGTAAAGAAGTTCTTATATTTAATTATTTTTATAAATGCTTTATTTATAAATAATAGAAAGTTCTTTTTTTAAATCAGATATATTCTAGTTCTAGTAAATAGAACTAGATATACTAATATTATTTACTAGTTCTTTACTAAATACAAGAGAGTTACTAGAAATATTCTAGCTTTAGAACTTTATAATATGGCTTATAGCTTTAATATAAATGCTTTAAATAAATCTATAATTAATAAAATACTAGAAATAGAACTATTATTAATAATTTATATAAATTCGAAGTTATTATATAAATGCCTTATTAAATGAGATACTATTCGAGAGAAATGTCTAATAATTAATATAATATATTTTTATTAAATATATAAATAATAAAAGATTATAGAAGTTAAATAGATTAAAGGAGAATTAAATCCTGCTAATTCTATAACGAAATTAAAGCTAATAAATACCTTCAAGTACCTAATTAATATGAATATAATATAATTAGATATAGAGAAATAAGCCAAATACGAATAGAGCAGGAAATAAATATATAGAATAGGAGAATATTATTATGCTTTACTGCTTTACTAGTAAATTTAGCGTCACGTGACCGCAATGACGCATACGGCCGGGGCTAGTATTTAGAATACCAAAGCTCCTGTATTTAGAGCTTCTCTCCTTAGTTTAGAATTCTCGGATTAAGAGCTACTTTACCTGCTTTCCAAGTTCAGAGACCCGGTTTTGTAATAGATATTATTAGAGGAGAAGTTATATATAAAAGGCTGTGGCCTTTAATATATAACTAAAACCTTAAAAGTAATATAAATATATAGAGTATTTGGGAAATCTAATACTAGGCCGGATTAGGAAATTTGTATATAATTAGAGAAGAAATACTACTTTTTGCGTTTTTAGAAAAGTTCTAATATTAGTATAGCTATAGCTATTAATAGTTATATAATATAGTTATATAACTTTATATTATATATTAATATTATAATACTATATTTCTTATTTCTAAAGAATAACTTTACTAACCTTATATAAATAGTATTTCATACCTATATAATAGTATTATATATTATTAGTAAATTAATAAAAACTTTAATTTTCTATTATTAAAACTAGTATTTCTATATTACTTTTCTAAAAGAAATTAGGAAATTAATATAATAAAGCTATAAGAATTCAAATGTTATATTAATATAATTAAAATTAAAATCATATAATATAAAATATATATTAGCTTTTGTTTAGTTCTCTAATATATTTTCGGTAATAATTCTAAGAATATAATCTTTATATAAATGAATCTTTTTTTTTAATAAAATTAAAAGAGTTATTCTTAATATTAATAGAATTCTTATATTTAAAACTAATTTCTTCTTATATAATTAGCTTTTATATTCGAATTAACTAATATTCTAATTCTATATTTATTTTTCCTTATTTTAATAATAACTTTAATTACTATTCTCGTTTTTATAGGCTTTGTTTTCAATAATATAAACGAATATAACTATTATAAAATATATTCGTTTCCCGGCTTTTTTAGTTCTAGATATTTATATATTTTATAGCTAGACTTATTATAGTTATAATAAATCAGTTTTTCCTAATTTAGATAAATAGTAATATAATAATTCTTTTTCTAATAAATAAAGCGAATTATATCCGGTTTTATAAATCCTAATATAAATACTATATTAGATTTTATTATTATATTTTTATTATTTCGGTTTTATAAATTTTATAATAAAAATATATTTCTTTTCTATTTTCTTTTTTCTTTCTTTTTTCTTTCTTTTTTCTTTCTTTTACTATTCTATTAATTTATTATTATATTTTTATTAAATAAATAAATTTAAATTATTTTTAATTCTTATAATTATAAAAATAAGCCTTTTTCTTTCTTATAAAATATTTCTTTAATAATTAATCTTATTTCGAATCTCTTATTTTAAACTATTAAATAAATTATTTTACTTTTATAGTAAACTCATATATCTTAAATTATTTAATAAACTATTTAAGTAAAATATAAAGCTTTAAATACTTTAATTTAGCTACTATTTTATATTCTTAAATTTAGTAAAAGTATTATTATTATAGTTTTCTAGATCTAAAATAGAATTCTCTATAAATTTATTAAAGGTCTTTTAATTTATAATATTAATATTTACTAATTATTTCCTATATTTCTAGATATTCCTGGCTATATTCTTAAAACAGGAAATATAATATATAATCTTTATTATATTTATAGCCTAGATAATTTTATTATCTTTATATTATTTTAATTCTATCTAGTAAAAGAAGTTCTAGGCTTCTTTAATATTCTTTTTTTTTATAAATTAGTAGTTTTCGGGGTTTTAAAATTCTTTAAACTAAGAATATTACTAGAAATATAATAGGCTTTATATTAGATATTCGAATATTTTTAAAATAATAAATTTAAGCTTTTAGCTTTTCTAGATCCTTTCTTTATTATATCTTTGTTTTTAATTTAGTAATATAATAATAAGCTACTACTAATTTCTCTATTATTATTATTCTATTAGCTAGTTCTAGAAATATCTGAATTCTATTTCTTTTTTCTAATTAGGTAATATAAAGAGTATCTAATTAGGTACTTTTCTAAATATCCGGTTAGATTACTCTAATAGTAATAGAGGCACTTTTTCTAGTTAATATTTTAGCTATTAATAATTTTGTCTATTAATAATTTAATTATCTTATAATAAACTACTTTCTAAAGGTTAGATTAATTAGAATATAAGATATATAATAATAGAGTAATATATAAGTTATAGAATAATACTTATAAATATAACTAATTTCAAGAATTAATTCTAATAAAAGACTAATTAATATTTCTTTCTAAAGCTAGAAGTATCTTTCTATATATTCCCTAGTACTTAGCTAAATATATAAAGTTCTTTACTTAATTAGGAAATGTAATCTCATATAATTCATATAATTCCAATTATAAGCTTTATCTAAAATAGGAAACTAAATCCACGATATCTAATACCTGTCTATATATTATTATATATATTTATTATATTTATAGTATATATATATCCTACTAAAAATCGCAAATACTATATATTATACCCATATATTATATCCTCTCTCTATACCTCTATTATTATTTCGAATATTTACTTTCTTTAATTCTTCTCTCTCTTTCTCTCTCTCTCTCTCTATATATATATATAAATAAGAGAGGGGGGGGGGCTTATAGGAAGAAAGGGGAGGGGGAAGCAAAGCGAGAGAACTTAACCAAAAATTTATATTACTAAATTTTTAGTACCTATAGCCTGTAACTTAGCGACCGTAGCCCCAAAATTTAGCAATAAGTAGCCTATAATTATAGGGCTTCCTTTTTCTAGCGAGTTGCATGCCTCGAATCTCGCTTTTCGCTTTTCGCTTTCTACTTTTCGCTTTTCACTTTTCACTTTTCATCTACTCACTCGCCCTCCACCTTCCCCCCCTCTCCCCCACCCACCCCTCACCTCTCACCCCTGTCTTATATATATATATAAGAATCAAAGAGAGAGTAGTATTTTAAGCAGTAATAATAGGTAGAGGTACAGGGAGAGGGGGTGTGGTATGTGGGCGATTTTTGGTGGGGTGAGTACGGGCCATAAATCGGACATCAAAAGTCGAAAACCGGATTCGAAAATCGCTTGATCACTTGATCCTTATCGCTTTCCGTAGTGATCCTCGCTAGGAGCGGAGGGCCATATTCTCTTAGTAGGCTTGATAGGAGCTAGCCCCATCCGGCCCCACATGCCATATATGAATTCACATGTAAACGTTATAAGAAATGGGTGGCAGAAACCAAGTTTTCTATGCTAATGGTCTGAAGGGCGAAACCAAAGCAAAAATGTGGGCTTAAAAAAGCGTAGAAGGTTAAATCCATCACTAACAATCGCACCTCCCTAACAATCGCACCTCCCTAACAATCGCACCTCCCTAACAATCGCACCTCCCTAACAATCGCACCTCCCGCCATATCTTCCACTATCGCCAAGTTCATTGAAGGCGTTTATAACAGAACTTAGGGAAAGTAGTACTGTTGCTGAACATTGTATGATCCAAAGCTGTTCGAGCAGCCACCTATTGGGTTTTCAGGTACGTATTGAGCACAAGAGTTTCCGCTCCCATCAGCGTTCAGAATGCAGAAGCTTGAACCTCCGCATCCGGTGAGCCTGTAAGTGACTTGATCGAGCGAGAACCAGCCGCCGTTGTAGGAGCAAGGGTTTTCGCTATTGGAACCGAGGTATGCGTAGTTGCAAGCGCTCTCGCCATTAACCCAGATGGCATGATCTTGATGCCCGTCATCATAAGTCGCGACACCGTAGTTGAAGTTGGCGGCGAAGGCAGTCTTCGCCATCATGGCGCTGAGGATGGCGACGGTAGTGCTGGTGAACTTCATTGTGATTGTATTGTGGAACTGGCTTGAGGATGAAGTAGTAGAAGAATTTCTGGATAGTTTGATGCTCAAGTTCTGTGTAGATCTGGATGTTGTTGATGGTGGAGAATTGATCTTGATTGAGATCCAAGTCGGACTTATATACCCAACGACTTCACCTCTTTCTCTACTGCTCAAGGGTTAAAGGCGAGTATACAGATATCCGCATCATCGGAAGAGCTAATTTGTCTCGCCGGACTCTCCGAAGCTGAATCGTTTAGTAATAGTAAGCGGTATTACGAAGACGGAGCTTCGTGATCAAGGTTCATCCCTTCGTCTGGTGAGAAATGTCCAGCGCTGGCGGCCGCAACGAATATCCCTTGTTCGGCCAAAATGAAACTGTCTCCACCAATCAGGCCATGCGCATTTGTGCGGCCGCTAACCTTAGCGCCGGACATGTCCCACCAGACGAAGGGATAATCTTATAGACGTCTTACGCCAGCAACATGCTACAAAAGAGAATGTAGATAGATCGGAGAGTAATTTCCGTCACAATAACTAGTCTTGCAGGATATTTACGCCCTTCTACGGAAAGCCCTAAGCGTGACATGTGTCAGCGCAGATCAGAGGTTTGGCATATAGCGCATTAAGCATATATTACCCTGCAGCCTTACGAAGGCGGGCGGCATTAAAAACCGTCCATCTGCTAAAAGGCGAGGAACACCAAAATCGCTACGTTTTAAAAATCACACCAGATCTGAATGCAGAGTCTAAACCCTTTAAAATAGCTGTGTGGGATAGAAAAGAAACAAATCTAACTTTCGTAGAATTTCCTTAATAATTAAATGTAATACGGAATTACGAGAATTTCTATATTGCGAGAGTCAAGACTGCGGCCGCCTTCCCTTAGCTAATTGGACGAATTTTAATGCCGCCCGCCTTCGTACTATGCCGCACCCCACTAAAAAGCTAAGCACTAAAATTAACTTTTTAGTGAGGTGCGGCATAGTAAGGCTGCAGGGTTTAGTGCTTAACTTTTTAGTGGGGTGCGGCATTGTAAGGCTGCAGGGTAATATATGCTTAATGCGCTATATGCCAAACCTCTGACCTGCGTGTGACGGGCACGTGGCTGGCAGAGACGTGATTCAGGCGGTTTTAGGCCCGTTTTCGACTAGTTTCAGGGCATGTGCGGCACCCCTTTATTACAGCTGGCAGTTTGGAAGCTTAGGAGACAGAGTTTAGCTGTGGTCGACTTGAATTACAACTTGCAAGCATCACTTATATCAGTTCTCCCTTACGTGATTCTCTGCTTATTAGGCGCCTCACACTACGCTGGCACATGTGACACTTAGGGCTTTTCGTACCCTTCGGGTTGTGGAGTCATCAAGGTCAGACATCAAGGTCAGACTCAATGTTCACGGTCGAACAACCTATTGCTGCACAAGTAAGATATAAAGTTCACGTTACCCCCATGGGAGCTTACTGCATATACGGAAGCTTACTGCATATACGAAGGCCGCGGTCATAAGTCTGGGTAATACAGGCGCTGAGGCCCTGTAAGGTGCTAGGGGCTCTTAAAATGGGAGCTTAGCGCCCCTGAAGAGGCCCCTGTAAGCTCTGATTGGCCTAATCAAGGAGATTGAAGCATAAATTTTTATCTACCTAGCCTTCTGCTTTGATTGACCTGCCTTCCGACCTTTATACAAATTATCGCCATCACACTTAATTACCTCTTGCACGTTATTGAAGAAGGGATCAATATATGGGTATAAAAGCGAGATATTAAGAGTTAACGGCACGTAGAATGATTATATATAGCAGAGTGAAGTCTGAAAGCAGAGGAGAAAGTGTCCTACGTAAGGGTCTTTATTCCCATTGCCTATTGGCGATATCGATAATGCCGAGCCAGCTTTCTCCGATATATTATAAATCAGCTGATAAAGCAAAAGTAATCAAAATGACAATATATTAGTGAGCTTGGTAAGCTCCGCAAGTGACGCATTACAAATGAGAGTGGAGAGTACTAAATTAGTGGTTGAACCTGGTGCTGGACGGACTGGTAAGCTAGCTAAGGTAACGTACCAATTCAACACACGTGCTCATATACTCGCTGAATCCAAGCCTGTATCCTCTCTTGGGATAGTTCTCTCCAACCCTTGATCCATGCCTCTCGCAATGCCTTTTCAGATGTAATTGGGCCCCGCTTTGTAGTTTACCTCTTCTTCCAGAACCAAGTAGGCTCAATTGCGTTTAGATCTGGGGAGTTTGAAGGCCAGAGCAACTTCACAATCTCCTATATATCGTAAACCTCTTGTTAATACCTTGAAGCATACGCAAGAGCATTATCCTCTTGAACAACAATTCCAGGCCTCTTTTTAAGGCACTCCTTTGCAAAGGGTAGAAGCTTTGGTATCAAGATCTTCTTTTGGTAGTTGTATCAATTGATACCGCCGCGTCCTTCCTTGACAATATACGCACCAGTGTCTTTAGTATGCTTGAACTGAGCACACGGCCCGCTTTGGTTGCATATAATATAGATACGAGTCATCGCATATTCAAGCTCCCACTTGGCCTTGTCCTCTTCGTATCGTGCGTCATTATGGCGTTTCAAATCAGCTTGCATAGCCTTCCTCTCAGCAATAGTCTCCTTTTCCCAGATATGGTAGGGGCCCTTATAATCCCATGAGAAACAGCTCCATCACATGAACTCCTTCTACCCTTCTATCTATGATTACCACGTGCGGGTAATACGTCTCACCCTTATTCCTCCACACTCTTCTCTTTCCTCTCACTCCCTCTAAGACAACACTAGTCTCATCTGAAAAAATCACTTTTTTCTAGTCCTTAATAGTCCAATCCTTCCTCTCTAAACACCACGCTAAACGAGCCTTCTTAGCTGCTTCCGTTAACTCTGGCTTCGCAGACCTCTTAAAAACGCCATAGCCATTCTTAGCAAGTACCCCAAAAACAGTACTTTCAAAGAATGATTGACGACCAGGCGTCCCTGTGGCTTCAGCTGTGATGCGGGCATATAACCACCCACGCGTCGTGGAGTTCTTGGTCATTGTTTGAATAATAAACAAAGCAGTGCCGTGGAGGTCTTTGGACGGCCAGAACGAGGAGCATCTTCAACGTGCTCTACCTCTACAACTGTGCCTGGCATCCAACCACGTGATACAGCCTTGGATCTGAGCTTGTAGCATCCCGACTTGGAAACACCAGTTTTTGTAAGGATTGCGTCAAAATCAGAAGGTCTTCCTTCGACAAATTTCGTAAGGGCAGTAATACGTGCTCCGCATTTGCGAGCTTAATATAGGGCTGCGGCGTGCTATAATGAGAATATATTGAGAAAAGGGGGGAGAAGAAAGAAGGAAGGGTTACCAAAGCGGCATTTAAATTGGTGGCGTTTCGCACTGACCCTGTGCGAATACTTGTGGCACGTTATTGTAACAGTCCCCTGGCATAGTGTCCGAGTCCTTAACCAGGAATTTCATTACCGCGAATGAGTGGGTCGTTCTACTATTGCGAAGCGCCGAGCATCTTTAAGCGTCATAATGAATGTACCCACATGCAATGGCGTTATTGTGTCGGCGTCTGCCGAGAGCGGCAAACTTCAAGGGGGAAAGGAAGAAGAAACCCCCCCCCCCACGCTATTGAGATGGCTTGAAAATGGATTCGGCTCGACGCCACTTTGGCAATATATGGCGAAGATTAACGACGGGGAACTGCTCAGCCCCCATGGCTAATGCTTCTGGTTATTTTTTTCGGCAGGGCGGGGTTGCTTTAATAGACATGGAACACTCCGAGTACTGAGCACATTCAAGGGAAACCTCTATCTTCAGTACACTTTTCAGGACGAAGGAATCAGCTTCAATATGCCTTCCTCATCTCCAATCTACGACAATCTACCTGTAGATTCTGAGACAATCCGCATCCTCACCCTTCTCCCTTCCCTCGACCAAAGCTCAGAAATCCACTGCTCGCTCGGTACTGCCAAGTTCTTGCGGTTTGGTCCGGACGGTGCCGTCACAGGAATTAAACCCCGCTTCGAAGCACTGTCATATACCTGGGGAGCACAGCAACCCCGCTACAAGCTGGTCTGCGACGGCTCCGAGATCGAAATCAACCAGAACCTCTTTGAAGCGTTGAAAGCCTTGCGGTATGTAAATGTGGAGAGGAAGCTCTGGATCGACGCCGTATGCATCAATCAAGAGGATAAGGAAGAGAAAGCGGTCCAAGTTCCCTTCATGAAATATATCTACCAGTATGCCACGTGCGTTGTGGTGTGGCTCGGTCCCGAAGACGCCGAAACGAAAACCGCCTTTGCACTTATACGCCTTGCGTCGAAATGTGCACAGCAGGAATTGGGCGTGTCCGAGATACCGTTTATTGGAAGATCGGCGAATTGGCTCTTCTACTGGCTCCTCCGGGCACTCTACTATTACTTTGGATGGGGTCAGACAGCTATAGCCCATGAGGAGTTCAATGCCGAAGCAAATAGTGCAAGGGGTTTCCCGTCGATGGAAGTGCAGAAAGACATAGATGAATGGGGGGCCTTGGTAGGCATTCTCAAGCGACCATGGTTCTATCGCTGCTGGATCAAACAGGAGTCGGCATTTGCGTCTGTCGCCATGATTCAAGTAGGCACACACTTGCTGGACTGGAAGGATCTATGCCTTGCCATTCGATTTTTCGCACACAAACGCTATTCACAGCCCTTGGGCCTGCAGAAATTTCAGAAATTGAAGCTGCAGAACCTGGAAACCTTCGAAGGATTTGCCGAAGTTGTACGCAACGTCTACGCGTTGTGCGGATATTCTCGCATTGGATTCGGAGAAAAAACATGGCGTCCGATCCCGCTCATAGACTTGCTTGAATCAACGAGACATCTGCAAGCTACGCTGAAGGTGGATAAGGTGTATGCCGTGCTCGGCTTGGCGAAAGAGGAAGCGATGTTCGAGGTCGATTATACCAGATCGGTGAAAGACGTGTATACCGACGTGTCAAGAGTTCTGCTTGGAACACCCCCGGGACCAGAAGTATCCAGATATCCGCTTCAAGTTCTTGCACATGTCAAGCATTACCCAGCATCAAGTCGCATAGAGCAAAAGACGGTACCTTCGGAAGAGAGCAAGAAACGAGAAATGGATCCTGACGAACCCCTTCCATCATGGGTAGCTTGCTGGCATCTTCCGCTCCAAGCAAGCAACGTTAGGAAAGAAAACGAATCACCACGTATGTTCATAATTTCCGGACTAAAGAGCTCAGTCCATTTCTGCGCAGGAGGAACCGAATACCACCCACCCGTAGACACAAAGACACCATACGAGATTTCCCTCAGGGGCTTCGAATCCGGGACTATCACCATCACCAAAGAAATACTTCATGAATTGCCCTTGTCTCGCTCCCGACTTTGGGACTTGGTAACAGATATATGGAGCGTTATTCCAGACAGAAACGCCGCTTATCCAACAAGTGAGAGTATCGACGAAGTATTCGCGCAGACACTTACCATGGCTGACACCGTTTCCTTGATGGCCAGTCAAGGAGAAGAAATTTATCATGCTATTGACTTCCAGCATTTCTGTGTTTCCATCTACAAACAGACAATCAAGATCTTTGAGGAAGATGGACGAACTGATGATGTCGAAAACTTGAGGACAGAGTGGGAGGGGGAATATAAGAGGTTGGAGGCTTTAGTCGGGAAGCATATAAAATCCCCTACGTTTTCGAGGGATTTGCAGGTTACCTGTCGCGGAAGGCAGCTTTTTGGTACGGAGAAGGGCTATATTGGTATTGGTGATATCACCCTGGAGATTGGAGACTTGGTATGCGTGCTGATTGGGGGCAAGACACCTTTTATTCTTCGTCCTGTTGTTGGTGGCAAATACAGGTTTATTGGCGAGTGTTATGTGCACGGAATTATGTTTGGGGAGTCGTTGGAAGAGGGTCTCAAACGGGAGAAAGTGTTTACTTTAATCTAAATGGTTAAGCTTCGAGAAAGCCGAGATCCGCCTTCTTACCTTCTTCAACTCTCTGCAGACCGAAGGTGCGATACGCTCTTCACTTAAGTATGTACCTCTACCGAATCTCCGCCATACACCGCATTAAATTACACGTGGGGAGATCCCACCGAGACGGTCCCTATAACTGTTAACGTTTTAAGGTCCAAATCGCCGCCAATCTTAACATCGCCCTGCGTTGCTTGAAAGCCAAAAGAGTAACACCCATCTAGGCCGATGCCCTGTTCATTAACCAAGAAGATGGTATTGAAAGAACAGCCCAAGTGGGAAAAATGGGCGCCATCTATCGGAGGGCGTCGGAAGAGGCTGCTTGGCTGGGATCTGAGTAAAGAATTATGGGGCAAGCTTTGCACATTGACTTGAACGTTAACGAAGAAAGCGGCCTCTCGATTCTCCCAATCTTCAACGAGTTGCTTTCACAGCCATATTGAAAGTGTGTACGGATTATCCAGAAAATTGACCGGAAATATCAACACCTAAATACTTCCGGCTTTACGACATTACTTAAGCTTCGTAACGTCACCCTCGTGAACGGGCTGAGATTGGTCAATCCAGGACTGAACTAGTTGTCAACGGCGTATGGGTAGACACCATCAATGGTATAGCCAGCACGAATTCTACCGATGATGGGGATACATCTGCCTATGCGGCAGCGTATCAGATGTGCCCATCAACAAGTATGACCGTCACCTGGAGATTATATTCTCACTTACCGCTGAGCTTTCTGAGTGCAAGAAGCGACTGGCAGAGTCTCCCCAAAAGCTTACCCTAACCCCCCCCCTTCTTCCGACCAGTCATGGGGCCTTGACACCACACTTGCTAAAACCGCAAGTGATGTTGTCCGTCATTTCTTCAGTGGCATTAAACATGGCATGAGCCATGTAAAGACAGAAAAGAAAGCACTTGGCTGGGTGCATCCTACGTCTCAGGGTAGGGACAGGATTGTACGAATCTTCCCCTGCCGCCAATTTGTTGTTTTAAGAAAATCCAAAGATGGTGATTACTATTAGGTGGTGGGCGTGGCCTATCTTCTTTCCATTGAGACGGAGTATATAGCCACGTTCGATGGTGAGAAAGTTGAAATTTTTGAGATTATTATAATACTTTATAATCTCAGGCTCTAGTATAAATAATAAATAAAGTAGAATAGAGTAGAGAAGTAGCCACTATTTATATTCTACTTATATTATAATTAAGGTATTTATAAATATTTATAAATACCTTAAGTAGTATACACGTAATATATATATATATATACCCGGCTAGCCTTATTTAGTAAAGCTTTAGGCACTTTGCTCTAGTATTACCTTGCTACTTAATTAAGTAATAATAGTACTTAATAAGTAAACTAAAGCTTAATAATACTTCTAGAATTACCTTAACTTAGAAACTTAATAATAGTAGTAATTTTATTATAACTAAATTATATAATAGACTTAATAAAAATACTTTTAAGAGAATAGCTTATTTAAAAACGAATTAAGAGAAGCTAAAAATAAGAAAAATAAGAAAAAACAAGATTATAAAAAAGATAATTAGTTTATTATTATAGAAAATTAGTATTTACCTAGCCTTATATAGGGCTATTTAATAAATATCTTGGTTCTTTTTAATAAAAAAATAATAGCCGGTGCCCCTCTTATATGCTTTACTTGTAGTCAGAATAAGCAAGTATCTCGTTTAACCAAGTGTCTCATCGAGATTTTAGCCGGTACTTGATTTTTGGTATATATTATACTCAAAATCAAGAATATTTGCAATGGAATTAAGAATACTAGTTACAAAAAAAAAACAAAGCTATCCAGAACTATATAAAATCGGCATTCTCTTATATACTATTAATTGAGCCCGTATTACTCTCTATATCTAACGAGTTTGGGTAATTAAAAAAGAATAGACTTGAGTCTATATACTTTCTTATACTTTTCTTTTAATACTTCTATTTTATAATATTAATTACTATATTCTTATCCGTATTAATAAAGGTATTTAATGCTTCTAGCTAATTAGATACTGGATTATTAAGGGATGCCTCAAGCTAGTAAGCTACAAGCTATAAATTAGGATAAAAGTCTTTTTTATAGCAAGCTTATTTAATAATTATAGGGTTTTTATTAGGTTTATAAATTAATACTATATTCTTTACTAGAATTAGCTTGTTCTTTAATTAATACTTTATAATTCTAGCTAGTCTAGCTTTTTTATTCTTATAAGCTTGAATTCCGGTATTCTTGAGTTAATTTTTAGCTCGATTTATAGTAATAGTAAGCTTCTTTTTAGCCTTATAAAGAGCTTTTCTATTATCTTTCTCCTTTTTCTCTTTAATTTTAATATAAAGCTCTATTATATTTGCAAATAATTCTCTTTTATATAAGCTTTTACAGGACTTTGCTTTTCGATTATATTTCTTATAGAGCTTTATTTAAAGAGCCTGGTATTTAATTATCTAAAGATAACTCTTTTATAGTTAAATATTAACCTTCTTAGTAGTAATTATTTAAGTTTCCTTTAAATTCTCTGAAAATTTAATAGAATTATAATTTGTAAGTACTCTAAGAATTGCAGCTATATTTCATACTTTATTAAAGCAAATAGATAATAAAGGTAAAAGATCTAAGCTCTTTTCTGTTTTAATCTCCTTAATTAATCTTTTCTTCTTTTTATATAATTATATTTTCTTAATTCCAGCTTTATAATTAATAGGCCATATATTAGAACTCTTAAAAGCATTTTCAATTATATACTTTTATATAATTTATATACGAATTAGAATAAGATTATGAAAAAAGAAGTAATTATATATTTAAAATTAAGGAATTAAAAGGCCATATAAATTACTATTTTATAATAGTATTTCTAGAACCGGAATATATTAATATTAAGTAATTAAAGAATATATATCAAATAAGAGAGAAACCAGAATAGTTTAATATTATATTTACTAGCCTTTAATTAAAAGAATTTATAGATATAAGATTTATATTTATCTAAAAAGAATATTTTCCAAGATTTATCTAGCCTAGCTTTTAAATACTTAATTAAATAATTGAAATATTTTATAGCTATATTATTATTTATATATTTAATATATTTTATTTTAATTAGGTTTTCTAATATTTAATTATTTATAATCTTTTTTCCAGAAGTAATTATAAATAACGGAAAAGGTTTATATTTATTTATATAAATAGTTTCAATTATTATAACTAATTTGTAATTCTTAAGGCTTGTTATATATAACTCTTTTATTTCTACAGGTATAATTATATATTTATTAGTAAAGCAATTAATATAGGCTCCTAACTTATCTGTATTTAGAATATTCTTCCCCTTTATAATATAAAGCTTCTTTAAAATATTCTAATATTTTCTTTTAAATAGAATTCGAGTTATATATATATAATTAGCTTTATTTTAATTATATAAAGGGTTTTATAATTCCGTATTTAAATACTAAACTAACTAGCTAAAGGCAGTAGTTTTAGAGGAGATTTAGCCTATTTATATTAGCTATATAATTAGATTTAGAAAAAGCACTTATAGCTTTTAAGTATATAATTATGGCTTGAATTATAAAATATATAATATCCAAACTAGCCTTTTACTACTTATAGTAATATTACCTAATTGCCTTCTCCTATATCTTATTTAGGATCTTATTATTACTACTATATATATTATAGAGCCCTTAGAAGTTCTTCTTTTTATTATACTTATAAAGTATCGATTTTTATAAAGAAGCTTCCTTAATATAATATATTCTTATAGCTATAATTACTAAATTATTATTATTTTCAAGGCATTATTTACAGGTCTTATTAAAGATATAGTAGTAATTAGCTTTTATAGCATATAGATAATAGAAATATTTCTAAGATATCTCTCTAATTCTAGTAGAATTAAATAAGGGTATATCTATTTTAGTAAACTTTATATAATTAGGTCAGATTAGTTATTATTACTTTTTTACTTAAATCCTTATATACTTTACTCTATCTTCCTATAATAAAATTTAAATTAGTTCTTACTTCTTTAATAATATTTCTTTAAACTTTAAATTATGGCTATTATATTAAAAATTGCTCGAAAGGAGCTTATCCCGGCCAAAAGATTAAGGCTTTGGACTCTCTATTATAAAGGCTATATACCTACTCAGATTTTAGCCAAAACCAAGGTACCCCGTACTACCATTACTTTATTTATCTAATAGTAGTCCCTTGCGAATAATAATACGTTTAAATCCAAGCCAAGAAGTAGTACTTTACAGAAACTCGACTTTAGAGCCGCTCGGAAGCTTGTACGAGATATAGTCAAGGAGCCAAGAACTAGTCTAAAATTGCTTGGAATACCTTCTAAATCCGGCAAGTATCTCTATTACCGTATAGTCGCAATTCTTCTCAAATCCTTTAGAAAAGCAAAATGCAGACTATATAAGAAGCCCTTCTTGATCCCCTTATATAAGCAAAAGCGTCGGTTCTATTATCGGGAAGAAAAAGCCATGAAACGGAATAATCGGAGGGTATATTAGAGTAATAAGGTGACTTTTGAAATTAGAGAAGATTTGAGAGGTTTCTGGGTAACCAGAGGGGCTAGGAGGGAAGAGGAGTATACGGATAAGAATTTACGACCTATATTCAAGAGCGGAAGAACTAGTATAGGTATATGGAGTTGTTTTTGTAGAGACGAGATAGGGCCGTTATATATACTACCGGAAAGAGAGAATATAATAGCAAAGCGGTATAAGTAGGTATTTTAATATCTATTTATTTTATTCTATAATAGTATAAGAGAGAAATATAGTAATAAGGTTATAATATAAGAGGATAATGCTCTATAGTATACTACCAAAATTATTACCAAGTATTTAGAGAATAAGGGAATTAAGCGGATAAAATGGCTACTATAATCGCCTGATCTTAATCTAATTGAAAATCTGTGGAAGTATATTAAGGATTTAATTACTATATAAAGGCATATAGTCAAAAATATAAAGGAGATGAGATATGTATTATAAATAATATAGTACTAGATTAATGGAAACTTTCTCTTAAAACTCTGTAATTCTGTACCAAGAAGATAAGCAGCTTGCCTTAAAAATAAGGGAGGAGTAACTAAATACTAAATAGCTTTAATTTGAGCCTATTTGGGCTACTTAATTTTAAAAATTGGGTGAAATATATTTGAGGCGAAATAGTAGTGTGAAAATGTTATGTAACGAAGACTTATCTGACCTGATTATACGTGGAATAAATAATGAATTGTTTAATAAGTTGGGCCAAACGTGCAATTGCAAGACGCGTTTTTTGGTGGGGATTATACGTAAATTTTTAGGGCCGGCATTTTCTCGATGGGACACTTGGTTAAACGAGACACTTGCTTATCCCGACCACAAGCGAAGCGCGTGGGAGGGGCACCGGCTATTATGTTTCAATTTATTGGCATCACGTGACTATTTATGAATATTCGTGAATATATATTCTACTCTGCTTATACTTTTTGAGTTTTACGCTACTTATATTCTATTCAAGACTACTCATGAATACCTTGAGTATTTCTTTCTCACACTGATCTCAGCTAAGATTACAGACAAGCTGTGGGTTTAACTTCAAGGCCTTTGGGAAGCCTGTCCAGACAGGTGTTTACTTGATACCGACTCGCAAGATGGAAGGAAAATGGTATTCGAGTAGTGGGGTGGTATTTCAAAGAGTGCGTTAACAGATATATCGGGTGTCTTTTAGGCACTGACAAGACGTTTGTAAAATTATACGCCAAGCCCAAAGGCTCAAATTAACAGGAAACACATTCTACGGGGCTATAAATATAAATAAAAAAATGATGTGGATTAAGATTTATTCCAGGCCCACTCGTTTTTACGAATTCATATCTACCAAATATTCATAGCTTCAACACCATATTTTGCAGTACCCACTTCTAGAGTTTTCAACGGGCATGACAGTTCTGGCGGAATTTGTTCTGTCCCATTACAACAGAAGAGATAAGTAGACAAGATCTGGCACTACACTCTCAAAATACTTCTCGATTTTCCATAAAGCCCCACCTCTTATACATCTCAACCTCTCCCCCCAACTTCTTCTCTACCGAAATTCTCATCTCCTTGAAGCCCTTCTCCTTCGCTGTCTTCACCACAGCCTTCACTAACGCCCTCCCGATACCCAACCCTCTATATTCCTCTAGGACAAACAATCTCTTTGCTTCGCATACATCTATATCACGCAATTGGAATCCAGGATCCATTAACTCGGGAAATGGGCGTAGACCGATCCAACCAATAGGCTTCTCGCCGGGAGAAGTGGCACGGGCCAGAAGCATCTCGCCATGTGGTGAGGAGAAGCGTCCAGGGAGCGAGGCAGCTTCGGCCTCAAGAGCCAGCTCGTCTATCTGGCTATGGCTGTACGTATATCCTCGATTTCTGCTGGAGCACACGCGGGTGACATAGTGTACGAAGATTGACAAGATAAGGATCTCTGAGTGGTGAGCATCATGGTTCTTGTTAAGCACATCTAAAACAGCACGAGCATTACTTAGAGGACATGAACAGCGTGAGGAGAGGATGCTAGAAGAAGGGCCGAGGAGGCAGAATTGGGCATGATTGGGCACGATGCATTTGATCTGCCTTTTGTCGGAGCTTACGACAAGGCTGCGTATTCAATGAAATATCGGAGTGCGCCTCGGTGGGGGATAATAGGCTCGCTTACCTTGACACTAACCGATTCCCCGCACCAAAACACGTCCCGCACCAAAACACGTCCCGCACCAAAACACGCTCTAGCAATATTTCAAAATCTTAATAATTAAATAACCACAAATCCTTTTAACTTCATTTTTAGAAAATAGAGACTATGGATATAATCGAGTAAGTTACTAAAATTATAATAATAATCTTCTTATAATTAAAAAGTGATTATTATTATATTAATTTTTTATAAAATTATAAATTTTTAATATAGTTTTATAATAAATATATAAAATATTATATAAATATACAAATTGTACTTTGTTTAATAATATTAGTTATAATATATAAAGAGTTTTTAATAAAAAGTATTATTTGTTATTAAAATTTAAGTTTAAATTAAATTTTTATTATTTATAAACAAACTTATTAATTATTTTATAGATATTATATATATAAAATTAACTTATAACTATATTCTTATTATAAAAGCCTTTATATATAATCTTTTAATTTTTTAAAATCTTTATTATTTATTCTAATATAGAATTTAATAAAAGTTTAAGTTATTTATAATTATATATAATAATTATATTATTTTAGGCTCATATTATATATAAACCCCTATTATTAACTATTTTTTAAATAATACTGATATTATAGTTTTATTTAATAATTACGTTTTTTAATATATAAATTCTTTTAATTATTATTAATTATTAAAAGAATTTATAAGATTAATATAAATATTTTAATATAAATGAGACTATATTATATAGCCAAGTTAAAAAAAACTAATAATTTTATATATTTATTAATTTATTTATTAATATATAAAGTTATTAATATTTAAATAATATATATTTATTAATATAAAGCTCTTAAATTAAGTATTTTTATATTTCAAATACGAATATATTATAATATAATATATTTAAAGTAATATATAATTTTTATATATTATAAATAATCTTTAATTTTAAGTTAAAGTTTAAAAATTTAAATCTTTAAATTATAATTTTCTTTTAAAAGTTAAAATTATATAAACTATTAATATATATTTTTGAACTATAATAATATTAGAATTTTTTTAGAATTTTTTTATCTTATAATATTATATAATATAAAAGTTATATTAATATTTATATAGTTTTAAAAGAATTATTAAAAGCTTATTATATTATAAAATAATAAGTATTCTTATTAAATATTATTAAAAGAAAGTTTAATATATAAAAGAGATCTTATATAAAAAAAATTAAATTATTATATAAAGTAAGTATTCTTTATTTAAAATTAAAAGTAAGAATTAAGAAAATTTAAATATTTAATCTTTAACTTATAATTATATTTTAAAAGATAAAATTATATAAAATATGAATATATTTCCTGAAACTATTATAATAAGGTAGTAATTTTATAATAGTTTTAACTTATAATAATATATAAGATAAAACTTATATTAAAATTTTATAGAATTTAATGTAATTATTAAAGGTTTATTATACTAATAAATATTAAGTATTTTTACTTTATATTATTAAAAGTAAGGTTTATTTACTAAAGGGATCTTATATATAAAAAAATTAGACTTTTATATAAGGTAGTTATATTTTAATAAATTAAAATATTTTTATTATATATATGTTTTAGTACGGGACTTCGGTTAAACCCTTCGAATGACGCTAAAGTTCGGTAGATCTAATAGTCGGACTTAACGTCGTACTAAAGGGGCCCTACTCTTTAGTCGGGGAAAGCAAAGTATTCCGGGAAAGCAAAGTATCCCGTACTAATCGCAAAAATTTCTAATTTATATAGAATACCTATAGTAAAAATTAATTAATTTAATTACTACTAGCCTAAATTACCCTGAAAATCCGTTAAATTCGATAATAATAGCTCGCCTAAGTAATCTCCCCAAGAATATACTTCTCTATAATATACCAGAGAAAAATAAGCTCTATAAGGCTATTTAGTTCCTTAAGGCTAATTCAGAAGAGACTCCTGCAATTATAGTATATATGTATTATATACGAAATAAAGATATAGTAAGGAAAGTATAGTAGAGAGAGAGAAAGAAAATAGGGATAGTAAGAATATAAAAAAGAAAGCAGAATAAGATCTTTTATCCTAATTAATATAAGGTATTAATTCAGTATATAGTATTATTTATAATTAATAGAGGAAAGGGAGCTATAAAGCAAATAATATATAATTATATAATATGAATATAAATAGAGAATAATAAAACGGCTTTATTTTGGAAATAGTTCTCTTAATAGCTAAAAAATACTCCAGAACTTTATATAATTAAGACAAAGCCTATTATAAGCCACCGTATTAATCTCTATACTAAATAGAGCCTATATAACTAGTTTGAAACTAAATATTATTCGGTATTAGAGGAAACTAAAATATATTATAGGAATTAGATATATAATATAAATGAGAAAGAAGTACAAATTTATATATTTATAGAAGAGGAAATAGTTATTCTAATTAGAATTAAGAAGATATATATAGGAATACTAGAAAATCGCATATTTCTTATAATAATTAAATATATATCTATAAATAATAAGGCAATTTCTCTAGTAGTAATTATTTCTAGAATTATAATTATAATTTCTTGATTCTACGAAAATATAACCGGCTATAAGGTTATTATAGTCTCTTTTATAGGATATATAAATAAGGGTATTTATATGATTTAATTAGATTATTTTATTAAGTATAATAATTATAGTTCTAATAAGAAATAATATGTTCTTTTAATTAATAAAGTAACTTATTACTAAATAAATAATTTTATCTTAAAAGCTATATTTAATAAGATATAAATTATCTAATTTCCCTCTTACTAAACCTATTTACTTTAATTATATAATATTAGTATTTTTAGGGAATAGAAATACTACTAATAAGTTAATATTATAAATATAATTTACTTATATAAGCCGAAATATAATATCTAATACTTCTTTTATAATCTTCCTATAATAAGGGAGAAGATATTTATTATTTATATAATTAAATATGCCTTTTAGAATACTAGAATTTGGCCTATTAGTTTTAAAGTAGTATAGAAAAAGCTTAAGAAGTATAGTGAAAAGAAAAGAAAAAATACTAGCCTTTAATTCCTGGAGTTTGGATCTAAATCAGAAACTAAATTAGATACAGAAAACATATGATTTACTATATCTACTTCTACTCCTGCTCCTGTTTATAAATACTAATTACCTACCTTTCTAAAACCTCCTTCTTTATATAACGAATATATTCTATAGCTTAATAATCTTAATAATAAGATTCTAGATACTTTAAGCTCCTTTCCTTATAAAGAGTATTTAGTTATAATTAAGGCTATTAAGAACTACCTAATACTTGGAAGTTTATAAGAACTAGATACCCAGAATACTTGCAAGATATAGATTAAATATTATAAGGCTAAGCTAAACGTATGGCTTAGTTTCTAAAGAGAGAGATAGTTAAATATATCTAATACTTTAGAAAAGAAAAAAATTAAAGTAAGGAATATAATAGAGGAGGAGCTAAAGAAGGCCAAAAAATAGCTTATAAAGGCTGAATTAGCTAAAAAGGAAGCCCTTAAAAGAGTAGGAATTACTATACGAGTAGTAGAGAGAGAAAGAAAGAAGAGAGTAAGAGATCTGGAGGTATAAGTAAAGAAGCAAGTTCTTGGAACTAATATAATTATTCCTCCCGAGCTCCTAATACTAATTCGCAATTCCCAAAACGAACCTACAAAAAGCGAGCTTAAAGCTATTCGAATTAAATACTAATTACTTTATAATAAGATAGCTAAAGAATAAGCTAAATTTAATAATATATAGGTCAAAGATTCTATAATCTTTACTAATATCCCTATTAATCCTATAATACTCGTATCTAAATAAGCTTACCGGGTAAAGAGGAACTCTCTTAGTTAATTATATATATAGGTAATATTAGAAGAGTCTAGGGGGTTAGATAAGGAGGTAGAGAAGGTACAAGAGAATATAAATAGTAGGGTTAGTAGGAAGGAGGTAGTTCTGTATTCTTTATTACCTAGATTAGTAATATTAACTAATTTAATAGCTCAAAATACAGATTTTGAAGTATTAGAGTAATAAGAGATTATATCCTTAATTATATATTAATTTAAGGGTTATTTGGTAGTGTAATATAATTCAAGTATCTGCGATCGCATAGTAATTTTGGTGTGGTACGGGACACTTCGCTTTCCCCGACTAAAGGGTAGGGCCCCTTTAGCGCGACGTTAAGTCCGACTATTAAGTGGGAGGTGTGGCAGTTGCAACCGGGTTAGCCGAGGACCAAAACTGGTCGCTTTCGGCGCTAGGTTCTTCTCGGTTCTTCCACAATGGCTCTCACCTTCGACTCACCGTTGCTCACATTGACTCACTATACACTACTAGTGAAGCAGCTCTGCTCACCTTCCCGAACATAAACAGATGTTCTTCATGTTAGGATTGGCCTATGATAAACAGTTGCCCCAACAGAAGCTCAAGGGGTTTCTGGGGCTATTCCGCCTCCGCTTGGCGTCGACCCAGATTTCGAACATCCTGATTCCCGCGGGAATCGTATTACAGCCACCAGCGTAGTATGCTGGGTAGTAGCAACGCTATTTGTTTCCCTACGACTGTATAGTCGGCGCACTATTGTCCACATTATAGGCCTTGAAGATTGTAAGTTGTCCTTGGACGTTTATATTGGGATACAGAGTTAATCAAAGAACATAGATATACTCCTTGCCGGATGGGTACATAGCCCTAGAAATTTACTTTAACAAAGCTTGATACTAATATGTGTGGAATTAGCTACTATCCTTAGCACATTCAGTGATTGTAATTGCCTGTGCGTTTGGTTGTCTTCCTCTGTCCTCCGGTGTCGACTGAAAACATTAGGGGCAACCCACGGGGCCGGAATCCATTTCTGGGATCTTCGCATCACTATGCTCGATCTTTTCGCCCGTGTAAGCCTTTGCTTCTCTCCGTATCCAGGTCAATTGAGAGTGCGTCTGACAAGCTTGCTTTTAGCTAGATATTACTGAGTCTGCATTTTATGGCGCCTGTACCTTTTGTATCAAACTTTCGATTCTAAGCTTTCTCTCTCGTCTCTCGCCAGATCGCAGATTCAGGGCTTTGATCATTCTAATGTCTGTGTTTATAACTGTATACTGTCTTTTCTCAGTCTTTCAATTTTTTTTCTCCTGGAGCGCCGTACCAAAGACGAGGCATTTAAGAATTTCAGCTGGGTCCTGCTCCGGACCGCTCCAAGTTTGTGCGGTAATCGCTGGAATCAATGCAGCAACTGATATTGTGATATATCTGATACCCATTGCAATAGTCTGGAATTTGCAATTGACAGGACGGAAGAAACTGGGTGTGATAATTAATTTTACACTTGGGTCACTGTGCGTCAGAGATATCTTACTTATCCGTAAAGTTTACTTGCTAATAGCCAGGAGAGTATGCATAGCCAGTGTTGCTCGATTCGTGGTCCAAATTGTGCGCTTCCACGATCCGGATTATTCACGAATTAAGGAAATATTTTTACCGTTGAAGTACGTATCTAAACTTCTCTATTTGCACTGCCTAGCTCTGCAGACTGCCATAAACTGCATGCTGATTTTCAACAGTACGCTTGAGATCAACGTTGGGATAATATGCGCATGCCTCCCGCATTTGGCCCCCTTAGCTCGTCGACTTACATCAAGGAGCTTGACGAGAGCACCAGAAGATCGCAGTATAAATTTAGGTATTCCGCATGCTTCTACCGCTGGTCGTGAGTCATTTAGTTTATCTACGCCAACAGAAGACAGGGGGTAAGAATCTACAGTATCTACGTCTCCTCTCCAGGTTGCCGAGCCAATATCAGCGCCTGTTGCAGCAGCTTGATCATCTACGACCAACACCGGGTGAGCGATCCAGAATATTTTCGCCCTTCCCGCGCGAGAACACTGGCACTGTAATCCTAGATAATCACGTCAGGTATGCGTTTAATCTATTTAACAATCAAGGGGCTAACCAGGTTCCAGAAATGCCCCACTAGAAACCATTTCGCGGGCTCTGACTGGACCTCTCTCGCTACGGCGAAGCTCATTCAGGCTGCGCACGCATATCTCTATCCTCGCTCTGTTGCCATTTTCTGTGCTAGTACGTTCGAAATATGGCCCGACGCACTGGCTAGACGCTCTGCGTTTTGCCACCTAGAAACATGATTTCAATGCTACAAAAGCTTGTAGAAAGGCGTGGAGCTGGAGGCCGAAGACGGGGATGGTCGAACGCCCCTGTCATAGGCTGCAGTAAAGGGGCGTGAGGTGGTGGTGAAGCTGCAGCTGGAGAAGGGAACTTAAACCCGAAATAGCTCATAGTTACGAAATCTCTGAATCGGTCTACTTATTTCATAAGATAATATCTTGTAATGTGTCTTGAACCACATTAGGCAGTTAGAACCATTGCTTCTACAATGGATAGGTAGCTATACCTTGAATATCACGTTGCTACGAACTTCTAAAAATTAATCCTATGCGGATAAAATATTCCTTCCTTCTCAATAAGTTCCTATACTCTATTTGAATGATAACCTAGTCAAGGGATATTAAGTTAATGCTATTTAAGTACTGTGTTATTATTTGAAGTTTTCTCGGCCGTGTACAGGCTGGATTCGATAAACCGGGCGATGGTTGCGAACAGGTAACGTCCGGATATGCGGCCTCCCTTGCCACCCCTAAGTGTAGCACGTTTCCTACGCGCAATGACTATCAAGAATCGACTCACTAAACAACGATCCAATGACATTCAGCTATTGAATTAATAACTGGAGCTTCTAGGAGGCGTAGGGGTTGACAGATCTAGGAATGGTTCCGAGAACAGCTCACCCCGACCAGTAGCGGCAGTAGTAGCAGATGATAAAAACAGTGGGGGCTGACTCATAACAATATGTCTCCGGATAGGTCGAATGGGCAGTTCGTGCGGTCCGTAATTTTGGCCGATAAGCGGAGGAGGGGGCTTAAGTTTGCGGATCAAGGGATCAGATTGAGATAGTGGAGATTAAAAAGTTCTAATCACAGGCTTATAATATTAATTTAATTCAAGGGTGTAATAAGAAATCCGTGTTTAAATATTCATACACAGCCTTTAGATCTGCGGCCGCCTATGAGAGTATAACGGGCCAAGCGCAGGAAGGAATAATATCCGCTCACAGCGAATTCCCCGGATAGTTGGCAGCCCCCGACTACCACGACTTCATGTTCTCTCATCAGACATAGTTTCTGACTTATCTTCCTTCTTGTCGCACGTCGCCCTAACATTTTATTATCTGCCCAATTTCCACAGTTACCCTTCCAAATGGGTATTAATATTTCATCAATCCAGTTTAATCCTATTTCTCTCCTGAGTGTCTCATCCCGTACTTCTTCACTTTGCGCTGCGATTTGAGTGGTTATTGTTGTTCCGTTTGGCTAAAATATTGGGATGCGATACATGTCGATTGTGCGCCTGGTAATGCCAGAATTGAGGGGGAGGGGAGGAGCAGCAGGTCCTACGTCAAGGGCGTGAGCTAGAGTCTGCGGTCAAACACATGCTCCTGTCTGTCGCAGTTGACCCTGCGACCCTGTGACGAGCTATAACAGAAAATATACTTCGAATGATCCCACGTAGCAGTTGTACATTTCTGAGAGTTGAAGTTCACTCACTGTCTTCGTTGCAACATGTCAAGCACATCCAAGCTGCTCCGCAACAGGGAACCAGAAGCATGATGAAATTTCTACAGTCATTAATCACAAATAGGTGAAGAGACTTTAAACTTACGTGATGCTAGAAGTGAGTGTTGCGAGGCTGCCAGCAAGGGAGCGAATGACGGGTACTCTCAGAGCCGAATTTGCGTTATTTCTGTACGAGTGCAGCTGTATTTATGTGAGAAATATTCTATTACGAGATTTGACGAGACTCGCTACTCAAAGACACGACAAAGCATGGTGTGAGGTAGAATTGAGGTGATCTAAGCATGGTAGGTAAGGTCTGATAACACAAAGATCACGAACGTGGACAATAGCATCAAATATGAGGGGTTAGGATACAATTTAGCATATCTGTTGTGTTGCAAGATCGTATCTAGAAAAATTGCTGGCACCATCGCCGTGACAATCAACAATATTGGCGGAGTAATAGAGCCGGCCCTGGGACTTCTACCATTAACGTTACTTTGAGACATCTCTGTTGATAATAACGACATGGCACTGAGAGAACCGCCAATCCTTGGGGATGTCTCTAACGAAGCCATTAAAAGTTACAAATAAACAGTTGCCGCGATGAGCTTAATTGATACAAGGCGCGGTGGCATGCGACTACATAATCACATTGCGTCTCTTATCCGTTGTATTCTCCGCACTAGCTCAATAATAATTCAGGGGCTAGCAGGCAAGATTTGAGTCACGGCGGTCGAAGTATTGGGTAATTAGGTAGTTCCCCGCACTTGCCGCATGGTTTCATGAAAGGGTAGCATGACTCCCCACCAGGCTTGGCAAAAATACTGGATGGTATTGTAATGGGGATTTGATTGTAATATGGTTTTCGGACCATATATAGGCGTTTGGATGCGTGGGAGAGGGTAAAGGGGAAGTTATAAACTAAGAACTCAAAAGTAACACTCTCAACAGTAGTAAGAAGTAAAGCAAAGGTCAAAAATAAGGGGCTCCAAAGTGTGATGTATTGGGAAGGCTAATCGTACGTCTGGACGGAAGTCTTATGCAACCCCTTGAACTAGCGCCAGCATGCCTGGGAAGCAGGACACGTGACAGTAGTCACGGGACAAGAGAGAAAAAACCCCATCACAGTATTAGTCAGGTATCGCAAGAATCGATAGTATTAATACCAGAATCGATTCTTACCCCAAAAATTAAATCTTTCTTTTATTATTTAAATTATATAATAATGTATTATTATATAATTCCTTTAATTTCTAGTCTTTCTATTAAAAGAATTACTTATTATTATTAATAAAAGTTAATAATATCTCAAATTTAAAATAGCTCTCGTTGTGACAGCGGGATCGAGGCAATGGCCAGGGCTCAAAGATCCAAGAATCTCATGTATTGAAAATACTAAGCTAAAGAGAAGAAGGAGAGAGAGAGAGAGAGAAGGAAAGGGGATAAAAGAAGTGAAGTACTAGCTAAAACCACTGAAACGCCGGCTAGCTAGGTAAAACCAGTCATGTAATAGCCACCCCTATATGGCCCCTAGCCAGTGCCGTTACACTCGTATTTGGAGAATTAAGCCCCGTATTCGTATTTCTAATCAAGACGCTTATTATAAGCGAGCCTTACGAAAATCTCAAAAGCTTATTTTTGCTTAAAATAGCCGTATTGAGATGAGTTTTAGTCTAAAATATAAGATAAGTAGCTAAATAGAAAGCCTAAATTAAGTAGAATATTTGCGCTACCAAAAGTTTTCTTATAAGAGAAGTGATTCTAAAGTTAATTGTAATTAAAGGGGGGAATTGGGTTCTGGGAATCGATACTGGTATTGATACTATTGATACCTGGCGATTCTGGCATCGATACCTATCGATACCGGAAATTAAGGAATTTTTGCCAAGCCTGCTCCCCACTATGCATTAGCTTCCGAACATCGTTGACATGCATCAGTCACGTTAACCAGAATTTGTCCTAGTCAAATCATGAATTATGTTTCCTTAAATGCTTCAAAGTCTCCTCGACAATCCCAAATTCTTCAAAATTAGCATCTTGCAATTGACTAACCTGATCGTGGCAGCTCTCATCCTCGTCGATCTCCAAGCAGATTTCCTGGACGCTAAGCAGGATCGGACGGCGATTATTATTGACCCACGCCCGTTTCTTCGTCTCCTGCCAGCTCTGCTTCGTGGATTCGCGACGAGGCAACGACCAATCCTCTGGGTATGATTCCCTTCATTCATTTCTCACGATTCCCCACATATGTGCTTGTTATCTAACCTTATTTTAAAGATCCAAAGCGCCTACCCTGGCACCACTCATGGCACCTGCCCTCCCTTCCCAGCCCTGCCGCCTTCACCGAGCTGCAAGATTTTTAGTCATACCTCACTTCAACTCACACATCTTCTCGCTTCTGTGTCCCGGGGTCTCCCCGTGCAACACTTCCCCCCTCATCGCAATCCTAAAACATCCGCATCATGTTTCAATCGAAAAGTCCTGGTATTCAGCCTTCACAGAGACTTCACTTGACGGAACACTGCAATCATGTTCGATCACCCACGTGAACATCGCCGGCGTGACAACCAGTACCTGTGTCGCGGCAACATCCGTCTACGCTCGACGTCTTGGGGGTACTAGTGTCACTATTATCGGTGATCTTGTCTTCTCACTTAAGCCCGAGACCAGTGAGAAAGCTTTGGATACGTTGACAGCGGCACCTTACAACGTTTCCCTCTGCAAAACAGAACAAGTACTGGCAAATATTGATACTAAGTCAGGGGTCAAACTTCCAGAACTGTTCTACGTCAATGGTTCTATCCCATCTTGGAGAGTAATGGTGGCGCTTTCACTGAAGCGTATCCCATATAAGGCCACTCGCCTCCGCGTCATGACCACTCCAAAGGAAACCCAAAGCGCGAACTTTCGGATTATCAATCCTTGCGGCAAAACTCTGACATTTGCTGATGTTGATGCAACTGTAGTTATCGACAGTTTGGCGATCCTGCAATACCTGGAAGAGTATTATTCCACAACGCAGCATGGAAGCTTGATGCCAGAGTGTTCTCGGAGGAGAGAATGACGAAGGAACTGTGTCGGGTGGCGGAGAGCGAGAATCCACACAATATCTATGAGCCTATCGAGCTCTTGTACTTGCCTGACTGGGAACGTCACCCAGAAACAATCGTGCAAGCCTTTCGCGAACTGCTCAACTAGCTGGAGTACTGGGATGGTTACGCGAAAGAAAATACATTTATGTCAGGCGGTGGATTCGGGATGGCTGACTGTGCTTTTTATCCGATTTTGGCATATAGGATCCACCGGGCCTTGGGACTGGATGGCATGGGATGCTTTGAACTACAGAAGTACGTTGAGAGGTGCGGGGGCCTCCGGGCAGTGAGCGAAGCGAGACTGGGATGGGAAAGGCCGGGGAAGACTCTGTTTGCTAAGTGTGAAAGTTTTGCGGAAAGAAAGAGTCAGGAGCAGCGAAGCGCTGGGAGAGTTTTCTGAGGAGGCTCCAATGCTGTCTTGGCAGGATAACCAGTCCTCAAAGACATCAACTAACACACCTATCTCAATACCTGGAGAACTGGGCACGAGTTTAGCCAAATCCAGGGGGCCTTGCCTATATTGCTAGCAGACGAACTCGAACATGAGGTTCGTCTCGTTTTACGACTGTCTTCAACTATTCAACCTCTACTTGGAAGCCAGCGACGAATTTCACCTCTCCCATCCCTCCTTCTGTATCTTCAGCCCCAACAACCTTCATCTTCTCTGCAAATTCCACCATCAAGTCCTCCTCTGTCGGCTCAGTTGGGATTGTCTTCCTTTTCTCAGCTTCCTTGACACCAAGCGCAACATCAAAGATTTCTTGGATGTAATCTTCGGAAGTAATTGGTTGCTGTGATTGATTCTGTGAACGCCACAGCGAGTATGCGTCTGGCCTCACGAGAACCAAGTCACGATCCTCCCAAACTGAGCGCACACGACTTTCATCTTTCAACACAACAACATGAAGAGGTATATTCCTTTTCGCCGCAACAGACAGGAAAACTGCTTTCGCTTGCTCGGATGTTGATTGGTAAAATGGTTCGAAGCAGACAAGGGTCAGCCCGTGACTTATCAGGTCAATTGTGCTCGTCTCCCCAATCTTGGTTTTCAGCCAAAGATGTGGAACCCGGGATCCTGGAGCAGAGCTTGGTTGATACTTGTCCACATCCCATAGTGGTGATTGGCTGCCATCAATATCACGCACAATAGCACGACTGTGAGTGAGTCGACGGTCAAACTCCACACCATCAGCAGCTCTCTCGATGCTAATGCCTCGAACCAGATCTGCCAGCCTCTGTCTCTCCGCGTTTGCCGGGTCGAGAATTTGTGGTCCAGTAGTCAAGTACTGAACGGTGTAGTCCGTGAACGTTCTTGCGAGTTCTGTAGCATGAATGAGATTCTGCAGCACGATATACTTCCTTTCGAGAGCGTATGCATCCAGAAGGTGCAATCCACCGTACCCCTGGACCAGGGCACTCAACTTCCACGCCAAATCAAGCTGTTCGTGAGCCCCAGAATTGAATCCAAGCGCGCCGTGCGGCGGTTGCCGATGTGCAGAGTCGCCTGCCAATACCACGCGGCCTTTTTCGGAGATAAAAGATTTCACCACGGCGAAGTTAGGTCGGTAGGCGCTGTGGACGAGGATTTCGTCGATCTTGATCTTGAAAGGTTTTCCAAATGCGCCGCCTAGTATACGATAGATCAATTCTTCGGGGTCGTATTTGGTGACGTCTTCTTGCAGGACGTGTGGGCCGAAATTATGGATTGTGAAAGTCCCACTTTCATCTTGATCTACGAGACACCCGATACCATGGGTGTTGAGGTGCCAAAATCGACCGTACGTCTTCTTTTCTAGCTCCAGCAACTCTTCGCTTCGGAAGTGAACGAGATAGGCCCCAATATTGATTGGACCACCTTTCAGCTTGATGCCAGTGTTCCGTCGAACTCTTGAGCCGGCGCCATCACAACCAACAAGATAGTTGGAAGTGAATTCATGCTCGTTGCCCTCCTTGTCAATGCAGATCGTGGAAACTCCATTTTCGTTCTCTATATGAGAAAGGTATTTCATGCCGTAGTGCGATGTGACATTTTCATTCCGGAGGACCTCGGTCTTCAGGAAAGATTCAAAGATATCGAGGACACATCTTTGATGATGTTCAGATGTCCTTGTACCATCATTGTGTTGCTGATCAAGCTTCTTTTCTTCTTTAAGCGAGAGATGTGGGTCCTTAAAACGTGTGAGATCGACCCTAATCTGATAATCTATCTCACAAATGCTAGAGACTTACCACACGAGCAAACTCAGGCACTGGGTCACCCAATCCGGTATGATGCAAGACAGTCCAAGGTGCATCTGCCTTTGGGACCCCATCAACGCTTCGTAGTTTATCTGCAAGACCCAATATTCGCAGCACCTCCATTGTTCGACCATTGATCTGCTCCATCTTCGGCCATCTTGTCGTAGTGGTGGAAGCCTCGACAAGAGTGCTTGCCTGATGGAAGTGAGAAAGGGATAAAGCCAGAAGTGAGCCCACGGGCCCACCACCGACAATTAGGATGGGTGTGCGAGGATGTTCCTTTCGTTGTGCCATTTTTCAAATTTGGATGACCTCGATAACCTGAAGATAGCTCAATATGATAATTTTGGGTGGTCGATGGCAACGCAATCGGAGATTTTGGTCCAAAAGTTGAAGTGAACTTATTAACAAGTAATCAGAAGGAAGTACATCTGGCCGGATAGTTTGTCGGGAAAGGCGGAGGTGGATGATGGATGAAAGTGATCTTACCGCTATTCAGCATGTACTTAAGTAAGCTTACCCGCAGCCATTTCTGCACACAGTTCGGGCCAATCAGTTTTATGAGCTCTTTCCGTTTCTCAGTTTCTCAGCAACGTATACCATTGCCAAATCTTCCGAGTCCTAAGCCATGCGAGCCGGCATAAGTTCAGCGAAGAAAAAGCCGACGAGTCCGACTCCCTTCTTGCAACTACATTGGCCGCAGAACGCGAGACTATGCCCAGTTTGTATAGCAGCTGCATCTTCCCGCAAATGGGCTGCCGAGAATGCCGCACAATGCATTATGGCTGTTCGCTAGACTCTGGCTCGTCAAGTACAGGCTCGGCAACAATTACTAATCGATTGGACCGCGACGACTCAACACCTCCTCGTGATGCGGTCTGGTAACCTATAGCAATCGGTCCACCGATTATCTATCTCTTTGGAGAAGTACAGGGCTAGAATTGAGTTCCGATCTAATAATAGTGAATCTCCTCACCGTCGCCACCGCTCCGACTCAAATCGACTTCTCCTCTTAACTCGAGACTCGAGTCTCCTCTATTATTTAATATTAATATATAAGATTCGCTCCCCCGTCTCTAATTAACTAAGACTTTATAAGAAATTAGTATCTTATTTTGCTTGTTAATAAAGGAAGGCCGATTCTTTATATACTAATAATATATATTCTTGACCGGAATTAAAGCAATATTAGAAATATATCTAATAGGCATTTTTATACTTAAATTTATTTATATTATTAAGAGGCTTAAATTATAAAGGCATATTAAGGCTTAGAGATTATTTAAGAATTATTTGTAAATAATAAAAAGACTTTAATAAAATGGTTTTTATTTCTCTTATTTTAAATATTAGTATTTATAACTAAAGTTTGTTTTTAAATATTAAATTAACTTATTTTAGACAAGTAATAACCGGATTAAATTTAGAAGAAAAGTTTTCGGGCTTTCTTTTAAGGCAAATAGCCTAAAGATTTAATAGATAATTATATTAAACTAATTTAAGGCTATAAATAAGGCTTTTTAATTTAAATTATTTCTTTTATATTTATTTCTTTTAACTAAATAATAATAAATAATTTAAAAATCGAATTATATAATATATATAAGAATATATATAACTCAAGAATATATAATAAACCTCGAATATTACGAGTATTAATTAGAGAGATTAATGGCCCTTAAATATTATAATTATACTACTATTTATATTATAGGCTTTAGGCTTATAAATTATTATATATATATATTATTAGAAGCTCCTATTTAAAAAAGGCTTTCCTAGATTTTATAAGAGAAATAAAGATTAGTTTTATATTAAATTTAATACTATAGTTTTATAATTTACTAATTTATTCTATTATCTTATTACTCATTAATAAATACCTTATAATCTAATTTCTTTATTCTTAAAAGAGACAATTTAATAAGTAATAATATTTCAAAATTTGCGAAATATATAATCTTTTATTAAAGCTATTCTTATAAAAAAAGTTAACTAAATTAATTCCGATATAAGTAATAATAAAGGCTCGTTTAATACTTTTAATAAGACTTTTTAGGAGCCTTAGAAAGCTAGTAATAATAACGAAAATAATTCCGGTAATAATTAAAATATTAAAATTAATACTTAAATTATTATTATTCTAGTTATAAAATAGGACTTATATATTAAAGTTAAAGTATTCTAATAAAAACAAGAATTAGTAAATATAATTAATTAATATATTCTATAATTAAAGTAATATAAGAGTATTTCTTAGGATATTTTATAGTTTATTATATCTTATAAAAACTCTATTTATAAGTTTACTTTATTTTCCTTAATTATTTCTATTAGAAAACTTCCTGAAATAAAATTAGAACTTATTTCCTTTTTTAATATAATAAGTTTTAAAAGTAATCTTAATACTATTTATTAAGAGCTATTATATAATATTCTAAAAATGTATTTGAATTAAAAAAAGCTTTTTAAAATCTAAATATCTAACTTATATTATAGAAAGTTTTTTAAGAAATAAAAAATATTTGTATTTTCCTAGAAAGTAGTTTTTAGAATCTAATCTTAAATTTATAATAGATATTTTTCAAGAACTAATTCTATTATAAGTATTCTTAGGAACAAATTTTATAATATTTAGAAAACTATAATAAAGTAAACCTTTTTATTATATAAGATTTAGTAGAAGTAATTTAAGGCCTATTAAGCTAATATATTTTAAGTATTTTAAAGCTATTAATAAAATACTTTTAAGAAGCTTTGAGATCTTTATTAGAAGAATAGTAAAATAATTACCGAATTATATATTTAAATAATTAGTCTCGAAATTAATTAGAACCTATATCCTAAAAGAAATTGGATTTAGACTTCTAATATTACTCTATCTAACTATAAAACTTATTAGATATTTATATTTATTTTCTTAAAAAATAAGGTAATATCTATTTCCGAATAATATAAAAAAGCTTAAAAAATTAAATATATTACTTATTCTAAATTTGTGAGGTGTTTGTTAGTAGGCAATAAGACAATAGAATGAATTAGTGAGTTGTGAAACCATAGTGTCAAATTCAGTACAGAACTAATCTCTGTCCCTCCTGTGAGGTCCAGGGAAGCCCCCTCTAAATAGGAGGCCCCGATGACGTATATATAATTAGTGATTTGTAAGCCTAATGCTTATGATATAAACAGTGGTTGGTTGTGAAGTCGAAGGGCCTCCGATCTCCCTGATCGACACCCGCGACATCCGAGGTTCGTCACATGCCCTTAAGTCACGTGCGACCCTACACACATCACAAAATTAAAGAAAGTAAAAATAAGAAAGTTTAATAAAGGCAATTCTATTTTTAAGAATTCTGATTTAGTAAATTCTAATTTATAAGGCCATTAAAAAAGGAAAAATAAATTCCGAAAATTATATAAGAAATTTTTAAGTAATATTTTAGTTCTTTCTAGGCCTTACTAAAATACTAGTTCTATTTTAGATATAGTTTATTAAACTTATAATTAGAAAGAATACTTCTTAGGAAATATGAAATATTTTAAATATAATAAATAGACTTAATAGACTTAATAGAACTCTAATAATACTAAAATTATAGAAAAGTTAAGATATTTATAAAAGCAAATTAATACTATTATTATAAAAAAAGTATTTTAGAAAAGACTTTTTTAAGAAATAAGAAAAAGAAAAGGCCAAATCTTAAATATTAATAATTTTAGCTATAATAAAAAAGATATATTACTTTATATAATTATTTAAATAAAATTAATATAGCCAGAAATAAATATTTTAAAAATATATAATAAACTTAATAATATTAAATTAGATTATAATTTCTTTAATAATAATTAGATTTAAAAGTAAAGCTTTATTATCTTAGCTAAATATAACTAAAAATTTATAACCTTTTATAGAAATAGATTTAAGATCTATTAAGCCTATAACCTTAAAATATTTATTATAAATAATTATAATAAAATATATTTTTTTAAGCTTTAATTCTATAAATCTAAAAATATTAGCTTTTATAGCCTTGTTTTTAATATGAAATTTTATAAAACAACTCTTATATAATATATAAATTATATTAAGAAATAATAGATATATATATTTATATAGCCTAAAAATATTAAGATTCTAATATTAAAAGAGTTTAATAAGGAACTTAACTTATATTCTAAGCTAATATTTCAAGTTTTATTCTTAACTAAAGGCAAAAATAACTATTCTAAATAATAGGCTTTATATATTTATAATAGTTATTAGATCTTTATTTTATTATATAGTTCTAATAATACTAAATAAAAGTTTTTAATATAATAAATTAATATCTTTTAAAAAGAGGCCTTAGAGATATTTATATATTTCCGGAATAATAAATACGAAAATTTCTTAGAAGTTTTCAATTTTAATAAAGCTTTAAAACTTTCTAATTTTAGTAATATTAAATACTCTATTAATATAAATAATATAGTTTTATATAAACCTTTATATAATTTATTAGAAATCTAATTAAAAGTATTATATTTGTATTTATAAAATAAAATCTAATAAAAGTCTTATAAAAATATTTATTCTTTTTATTTCTAAGAAAAATAAAGAGCTATATCTTTATATTAATTATTATAAACTTAATTAAATTATAATTAAGAATTAGTATTTGCTTTCCTTTATTAATAAAATCTTTAATTAATTCTAAGAAGCTAAAATTTTTATAAAGTTAAATCTTAAAAATATATATTATTAGATAAGAATTTATAAAAAATATAAATAGAAAACGGCTTTTAGAACCCGTTATAGCTATTTTAAATATCTTATAATACCTTTTAAGTTAGCTAATATACTAGTTATATTTCAAATATATATTAATATTATATTTATAGTTTTTTATTTAGATAACATCTTTATTTATTTCCGGAATAAAAATAAATACTATAATTATATTTATTAAATACTTATTAGGCTATATTAAAATAATCTATTTTATAGATTTAATAAATATAAGTTTAATATTAAAGAAATCAAATTCTTGAACTTTTTTATTAGAATAAAAAATATTCATATGAATTCTAAACGAGTTTATAATATTATTAAATAGCTAAAACCAGAATTATTTTATAATATTTAAGTATTTCTTGGATTTACTAATTTTTATTATAAATTTATTTATTATTACTTTTAGGTAATTATAGATTTAATAAATCTCTTAAAAGAAATAAAAAAGAACCAGAAATCCGGTTTCTTTATATAAATAAATAAAGTAGCTAAAAGCTTTTATTATAATACCTGTTCTGGTTTATTTTAATTCTTTTAGAAAGATTTATATTAAAATTAATATATTAAAATTCATAATTACTAGTATTATTTTATAATAAATTAATT